TTCACATACCACACCCAGTCAAGGCCTGTAGCATCTTCTCCTAATGGTTCCCAAAGCCTTGCTCCTTCCTACCCATGGCTGCTGCCCAGCATAGTCCACTGTTCCCACCTCCCCAGTTCCTGCAGCAGCTCTTGAAAAGGCCCCTCCCCTCCAGTCCCTCCTTCTCCCTCTTTCATTCCTCCACAGGGCCAGAGGCATTGTCCTAGGACTCACAGGGCACTCAGAGGTTTGATAGCTTCTCCATGCCACCAGCACAGTATCATCCCCCTTAATATGGTATCCTGGGCCTGCAGCCCAGAGGGCCACTCCCACGACACTGACCACTCATACCTGGAACTTCTACATCAAAGGTTGTCAACCTGAGCCCTATGGACAGTTTGCCACCGGGTCATTCTGTGTGGTGGGAATGCAGTGAGTCTATGAGGGGCTCAGCAACATCTCTGTCCTCTACCTGTTTGATCCTGGTAGCACTGCCTCCCCAGCCCCGCCGCCTCACAAAAATACCCCCCAAACTGGCTGTGGCAATTGCAAATGTATCCTACACCACCAGATGTCCCCTGGGGCAGAACACCCACTGCTGGCTACCTTTGTCCATACAAGGTTTTTCTTCCCCTGTTTTTGAACAAGGTTTCCTCCTCCTCCTTTCAGATCCTAGAAGCCTCCCCAGCTCACTAGCTGGGCTGAGCAACTTTTAGGGACCCACTTCCCAGTCCACAGCTCTAGTACCCCTCCTATCGCACCATACCTGACTGGTCTGTTTGTGTATTGTCTCCCACAGTGTAAAGTGGGCTCCTGAGAACCCCAGCTCAGGGCATGGAAGCCCAGAAACAGAGTGGTGTACTCTGAGCACCAGTTCAGAGCAGAGAACTCTGGCTAGTGGCAGGGGAGGCTCTGCGCAGTGGGAAGCACAAGAAATAAGCAAAGGCAGATGCAGGAGTGAGAGCAGAAAGCAGTGACTTCCATGGAACAGCAGGGACAAAGGCCAACAGAGCCTGCGTAGTATCAAGATGAGCCTGGGAAGTGGCAAAGCTAGAACCAGGGTAGCTGCAGGATAGGAGGTAGGAAAGAACGTGTGGTTATGAGAGCCCTTGGATGTCCTGTAGCCTAAGGAATGTTCAGCAGGATGTGAAATGGAAAGGGAAAGTTTTGTGATCAACTAGATTTGGGAAATGTTTTGTTAATACTTAAGCAGCTTTCCTCATTGCAAGCCTTTGATAAGCGCCCATGCTGGGAAAGTCATTACCCTGGGGAGATAGGACAGGTAGCACTTTCTATACAGCATTGACCACAGGACCGCTTACCTAGTCAGTGTCCTAGAAAAAAATAAAAGCCAGGGGCTAACACTCGAGTTGCATCTTGAGAAAAGCCCCAAGACAAAAATGATCTAGGTTTGGGAACAGTGGTTGCACTAGTAAGTTATCAAAGACACAAACTAGAGTCATCCATGAAGAGGGAACTTCAGTTGAGGAATTTCCTCCATCAGGCTGGCCTATGGGCATGGCTATGAGGCATTTTATTTATTGTAAGAGGGCCCAGCCCATGTGAGCACTGCCATCCCTAAGGAAGTAGGCCTGTGCTGTATAAGAAAGGCAGCTGAAGAGCTGGAGAGAAGGCTCGGTGGTTAAGAGCACTGGCTGCTTTTGCAGAGGACCTGGGTTTGGTTCCTAGCACCCACATGGCAGCTAATAACCATCCATAGTTCTAGTTCCAGGGGATCTGACACCCTCTTCTGACCTCCATGGGCAACAGAGGACATGGGTACACTTACATACATACATACACATAAAATAAAAATAATAAATAAAATATTTTAAAATGGTAATGTCCAGCCTGGTCTTAAGACAAAAAAACAAACACTTTCCTCCCCAAGTTGGTTTTGGTCAGTGTTTTATCACAGCAACAGAAAGTAACTAGGACAGTGGCTTTGGGTTTAGTTGAAGCCATCAGGCCCTCACTTAATCCTTCACTCCCCTTCACCTGGGCCTCTGTACGACAAAGAAGCCAAGCAGGCTTCTGATCAAGCTCCTCCAGGAAGGGCCGGGAGGGAAGTTCAAATGTACTGTAGGAAAACAGTTGACCCAGGGGATGGCCTCCCCCAGGCCCCCGGACTGCAACAGATGGTGTGGTTAAAATTTCAGAAATTGAGGAGTACTTAAGGAAAAAATGCTGGCAGGCACTGAGGAACTTGTAAAACCATCTGAGCTGATGGGGGAGTCTGGGCCCTCTGCCCTGCCTCTGCCTCTGGCAGCATGAGTGGAGGTAGGGAGCCTGGAGGGATCAGATGAGGATATTCAGGTAGAGGCTTCTGGACCACTCAGGTGGGGCATCCAGGTAAAGAGAGGAGGGCAGCCCTGGTGCTTTTTCACAGAGCCTATTCCCCACCGAGCAAAGGAAACCTCCCCTCAGCAGATGGCAAGATGGTATTGAAGGGGGCGGGATGGTAAATGATACTTCAGGGAAAAGACCAGAACTTGGAATCACCCAGGCTGGGTTCAAGTCCTGGCCTTGCCACTTTCTGGCTGTGTGGTCTAGGAGGTAACAGCTCCCAAGCCTCCCCTTCCCTCGGCTGTAGGACAGATCATCTGCAGTGGCAGCAAGGATGCTGAGCTAGTGGTGGACACAGCAAAAAGACGGTACCTCATGGTACCTGTCAGCTGTCACAGTTTTGGTGACACAGGTGGGTGGCAGTTCCAATGGGGGCACATTTGGAAAGCTGGACAAGGTCTGGTAAAGTCATGGTAGGAAGATGCCTTGGCAGAGAGTGGTGAAAACTCCATTAGCTGGCAGCACACATAGCTGAGCTCTGTGGGCCCTGGCAGCCTGTGTGTGAGCATCCCAGAAACCTGGCACACTAGGAGCCCAGCCAGGCAGCTCTTACCTTCAGCATCCCTCCAGGAACCTGTTCCCCTCAAGGGCTTCTCCTCTGGGCTTCACCCTCAGTGTTTACTGTGTTATACATGATAGCCAGATTAGAAAGATAGCCACCTTCAGACACCACATAAGTCACCTGCCATGATGACCTTGCTGCTTAGGAAGAGTCCTACTTGACCACTTGCACCCTGACACAAATAGCATGCGTGGAAAGAGACAAAGAAATGGCTCTCCACGGCTCACAGATGGAGTGGACAGACGTATTGCTGGGTCACACTGTGGCCAGAGCAAGCTGGGCATGTTCTGCCTGGGGAGGCATTTTACAAACATTAATCCTGGCAGTTCTGAAAAGAACCACAGATTCCTGCCGTTTCCGTAGATAGAAGCATATGGTTTGGAGGGAAACAAGAGGAAGAGCCAGGAGAGCAGAAAGAAGATGACAGCGCTTATGCACGTGTCGGGGTGGTCAGTCAGTAGGTATTCAGAGCAGCAGGATATGACAAGGGTCATATATCTGCTTGCAAAGCTGGGCTTGTCATGGAAGGAACACGATCACACCATTTTCAGGTACTGAAGAACACAACTGCTTGGGAACAAGTGAGGGGAGACCAGTAATTGGGACTTTCTCTAGTGGGTGTGTAGACTTGGTCTGTCAGTAGCCAGGGACATGCTTCCAGGGGCTGCCCAGTCCATGGGCCTGAATAGGATAGCCACTGGCTCCAGAGCTGGTCACACTTATGTCTCATCTCTGGCTTTAATTGTCTGTACCAGGTGAGCCGGGTAGGGAAGCTACTTATCAGAAAGGGAAATTAAGGCAGTTATGGTGGCACATGCCTGTAATCCAGCATGCGGGAGGATTAGACAGTTGAGGGCTGGTGAGGTGAGGTAAAGGCACTTACTGCCAAGCCTGATGACCTGAGTTCAATCTCCAGGACCCACATGATAGAAGAAGAAAACTGACTTCCAAAAGTTCTCTGATCTCCACACAAGTGCCATGGTATGTGTATGTAGGCACACACACACACACACACACACACACACACACACACACACACACACAAAGTAATTAATTAAATGAAAACAAGTTTAATGTTTGAGGTCAGTCTCAAATAAATGTGGGGGTAAGGGGGAGGCTTCTGAGGCCCTGTGTGGGAAAGCAGCTTTACTGGGTGGGTAAGACAGCTAGGACCAGATAATTAAATTAGTTCTCTCTCTCTCTCTCTCTCTCTCTCTCTCTCTCTCTCTCTAACCATTAACTGCCAAGAGATCCTCAGGGAGGGGTGGAGCCTCGTGAGTCCTTCCCTCTCCATGACAAGATGTTGCCTGGCCAATCTTACTGCAGTTCTTATACAGGTAATCACTGCTGCTGTGAGTTCAAGAATGCAACAACCATGTCAAGCTCAAAACACATTATTTCACAACACTGTATCCCTTCCCTCAGTTCTTACATTCTTTCCAACCCCTCTTCCACAATGTTCCCTGAGCCTCAGAGGGGGTGAGCATTCAATACTCATTTCTTTCCAGCACTCTGACCAGTTATGAGTCTCCAGAGTACATTTCTCTGTTATGTTGGGTCAAGAAGCAGCAGGTCCCAGGGAACCCAGGTTACCAGGACTCTGAGGGCAGAGCCACTCTGGTTCCTTCAACCACTGGACAGTGCTAAGGTAGGGTCGGGGTGGTCTCCTGCCCTTCAGTAGTCTCTTGAACACACTTCAGAATCCCATGCTCTCCACAAGTGTTCCACAGACCAGTCCAGTCTCAGGTGGCTCGATCTGCATCTCCCTCCTGGACTCCTAGTCCTGCCTCTCCTCATCAACCTGCTAAGCCCTTTCTTCTGGGCACTTCCAATCCCAGGTTCAGTCATACCCTCATCTATCCTGTCCAAATGTCCCTTAAAAGGGACCAGGTTTCCTCCCCCATGCCAAGCCTATCCTGGACCACCCACTTCTTTCTCTGTGGGGCTGAGGCATTGTCTGAGTGAAGACAGAAAGTGCCCTCTGGAGACCACAGGTAGCCACAGCCCTGTATGTCAGGGCTTCCTACATAGCCTGGCAGGGGTCTGGGGCCCACATTCCTGAACCCGGATGGGCTTCCCATCCTTGTGCTAAGGGGTTTGAGAGGACTCTTACCTTTGGTGTGAGGTACTTGGTCATAATTTCCTTCCCTTTCTCGCCCAGTTTTTCATCTGGAGTAACTTCATATTCTGCCTAAAATAGAAGAGAAAAAGAACAATAACTAATGGCCTAGCTCCTAAACTTTGTATAGTTACTTATTAGAGCCTGAAAAGAACCAAGGTCGTACCACAGGGGGTAGGAGCTACTGGGGGTTTTGTTATTTGGGTTTACTCTAGTAGCAAAGACATGGTAGAGTTCATGGTGGAAGGTGTAGAGACTCATGCTAGTCATATCCTGGTAGATCAAGACACAGAGAGCACCAGGCATCGTGGTGTATACCTTTAATCCCAGCACTCAGGAGGCAGACGCAGGTAGCTCTGGAGGCCAGCCTGATCTACACAGTGAGCTCCAGGCCAGCTGGGGCTATAGCGAGAGGCTATCTAAAAAAATAGAAGGAGAAAGTTGGGGGAGGGGGCAGCAGCAGCAAGCTCAGGCCAAAAGTGGAACTGGGCTATAATCTGCAAGGCCTGCCCCCCAGTGGCTTATGTCAGTCGGCTAGTCCCTATATCCCAAAGGCTTTATAACCTCTCCACACAGAGTGCCCATTCTGGGGACTAAGTATTCAAACACATGAGCCTGTAGGGGACACCTGATACTCAAACCATAGCTTTCTGTCTCTGCCCACCCCCCAAGACTCAGGTTCGTCTCAGAAAGTAATATCCACCCAGCCCAACTTTGAGTGTTCCCTTAGCTCAAATAGTCCCAAGACTATTTGAAAGTCTAAAATCTTTCCTTACACCCTAGGCAAATTCTTAGCTGTGAGCCCCTATAAAACTGAAAAATAAGTTACAATAAAATAAGTTCTAATTTACAGTGTCAGAGCAAGCATTCCCATTCCAAAAGGGAGGAACAGAACAGCAAGGAAAGACTTGATTAAAACAAGAATGAAATGCCTTGAACAAACACAAACCCTGTAGCTCTATGTCTAGCATCTAGGGCTTGTAACATCATGTGAGTCCCAACAGACTTGGAAGTAGCACCCCTACAGCCCTGACATCAGTGGCACGCATGCCTTGGCTTCTCTGGGCTTCCCTGCAGTGACTCTGACCTGCCATACATTGCCTGGCCTCACTGGCTTTTTTCTGGAACCTTCATGTAAGACTCCCATAACTCCCACCTTCCGCAAGCCTACATCGTTAGCACTGTGTGGATGATGCTTCCAGGCTCTGCTGCTAGTCAAGATGCCTCCAGGACCCTTTAACTACAATGGCAGTGGTCTCTGAGTGTCTGCACAGATGAACCTGGAAAAGCATTTCCCTGGGAGGTCCTGTTTGAGCAGGGTGCCCTGGAGGCTCTATCTTCCCACAAACTCTTTTCAGATACCATCTTCTCAAATTAATTTGCATTTTTTATTTCCTAGAGCCTTTAGTGGGTGAGGGCTCACCCTCAAGGTCCCTTTCCCCGTGTCCCTGTGGTACTAATTCCTGTAATGACCACAGCCACTTCATTTTTGGCTTTTTTCTATTGCATTGTCTGCAGTCTGCAAATTTTTTTTTTTTTTTTTTTTTTTTTTTTTTTTTTTTTTTTAATTTTTTTTTTTTTTTTTTTTTTTTTTTAAATGTTGCCTCTTTTTTATAGCCCCAGCTGGCCTGGAACTCACCAGGTAGACCAGCCTGGCCTTGAACTCAAAGAGATCTGCTTGCCTCTGCCTCCCAAGTGCTGGGATCAAAGACATGCACCACCATGCCCAGCTCCCAGTATCATCTTATTAAAAAGACATGAAATTTAAAAGGATTTGGTGCTAGGATCCACAAATGAGGGAGAACATGTGTTTTTATTTTTCTGAGTCTGTGTTACTTCACTTAGTATAACAGTTTTGAGATCCATCCATTTACCTATAGATTTCATTATTCCGTGTCCCTGGTGTACGAATTCCTGTAATGCCCCCAGCCCCTTCATTTTCGGCTTTTTTTTATTGCATTGTCTGCAGTCTGCAAATTTTTTTTTTTTTTTTTTTTGAGACAGGGTAGCCCCAGCTGGCCCGGAACTCACCATGTAGACCAGGTTGGCATTGAAGTCACAGAGATCCACCTGCCTCTGCCTCGAAGGAGTGCTGGGATTAAAGGCATGCACTACCTCGCCCGGCTGCAGTCTGTAATTTTTAACTCATCCACATTCCTTTCTTCACCAAACTAAACATTTTTCACCTCTTTTTCCTCTGCATTTTGTAAAATTCTTACTATAAATCTGACTAAAAAGCAGTGCACCATAGCCTGACTATGCTGTCTTGAAATTTCTTCCACTAAACAAACTAGTACATTACTTTAGAATTTAGTCTCACTCACATTTTCAGACATGGCTAGAACAGCCAAATTCTTTGTCAAAATGTAACACAAAGGGCTGAAGAGATGGCTTAATGATTAAGAGCACTGGTTGCTCTTGCAGAGAACCCAGGTTCAGTTCCTAGCACCCACATGACAGCTAACAACTGTCTTTAACAGCAGTTCCAGGGATCCGATGCCCTCTTCTGGCTTCTGCAGGCATTGCATGACATAGGTGCGCTTACATACATGCAGGCAAAAAGACTCATACAGATAAAATAAGCATAAGTAAAACTTTAAAAAAATGTTTAATGTAGCCAGGCGTGGTGCTGCATGCCTTTAATCCCAGCACTTGGGAGGCAGAGGCAGGCGGATCTCTGTGAGTTCAATGCCAGCCTGGCCTACATAGTGAGTTCCAGGCCAGCTGGGGCTATAGGGAGACCCTGTCTCAAAAAGCCCCCCCCCCAAAAGTCTAATGTAACATGAGTAGCCTCTAGCCCAATTCCCCATAGAATACTTGTCTCACTCAGACAACCCCTGAGTCTCACCCTTTACTGTCCACGTTTCTATCAGGATCAGATCTTCTGAACTTCTACTAAAATGCCCCACTGGGCATTCTAAGGCTTTTCTGCTACAGCTCCCAATCCATCCACATTCCTTCTGCCAACCTGTTCTACAAACCACATGGCTAGGTTTATCACAGTAATGATTCCCCTTCTCAGTACTAATTTTCTGTTTTGTTGCTGTAAAAAAAATAATACAGAAGCAACTTAAGGAAAGATACATTCTAGTTCAGAGCTCTAAAGAGCACATTCCATCATAGCGAGGCAGACATTGCAGTGATCATGGCATCAGGAGAATGGGCCTGGGTTCTTCTGATCTTGAAAAATCAGGAAACAGAGTCAGAAGGTAACATTCTACCCTCTTCCACACTGAAAAGACACTTGCCCAGAGTTATGAAGCCAGAAGTGGCAGGGCGGGGGCTCTGACCTCCATACCCAGAACTCTTTCTTGACATCACTAGAAAACTGAGGACTCCAGGTTACTGGTCAAGCCAGGGAAACTCAAGCTCTAAAGAAACTAGAAAACCAGACTTTCAAATTTTCCTTGACCCAAGTGGGCTCCTTCACTCATCTAATGCATTTGCTGGTAGATAAAAGGCCATATGTGGCCAGAGGCCCAAATGAGCTTGCCTTACTCATTTATACAAAGTATCTAATGGCATATAGTACATAACCATTTCAAAATCCACCTCCCAAGGTTTTGTCAGCCTTAGCACTAAAGCACAGCTATTTCCCAAAGACAGGAAATGACCCCTCCTTTCTCAGGCTCCCTATGGTATAGGAGATGCTCAGCCCTCCTCACCAAGTTCAAGGCAACACACAGCTCACAGCCTAGGTTCTGGTCCCCTTAGGCCAGCCAGAAGCCACTCCTGGACACAGGGACAGGTCAGGCCATACGAAGGAGGTCCACAGAGGAAGCAGCACAATTTCCATCAATGCATGCAAACTCCCTTGCCTTGTTGTCGCTCTTCTAATGAGACAGCCAAGAACCACAGCTCTCACTAACGTAGAAACATGAGGCTCTGGGTTCGCAAAGGAATTCAACCACTCATCTCATAGGCTGGATGCTGAGGCTCCGAGAAGCAAAGGACTTGCTCAAGGCCACACAGCCAGCAGCAACAGAGTGAAGAACAACCCAGTCACAGTCCCTCTCTCCAGGGGCCAATTCCTTGTCATCAGCAAGAGGAGCCTTGAGTGACTGAAGCTTTCATGGTGACTTGATTTGACCAATGACTTCTTGAGACATTTTAAAGAGAGACAGTAACTCTTTCTTCTGGACAGCCTCCTGTTACTTTCTCCCCCTTTCTTCCCAACAATCCCCTAAAGCTCATGTATGTGCACACATACACACAGAGCCATACCATTCAAAGCAATTATGACAGGCTAGGCCAACAAAGCAATATGACTGTTCCCGATGTGCACAGGAAGACACTGAGACTCTGAGGTTCAGATACAGCAGAGCTGGTAAGCCCTAATAAGGGCCAACTCCCCTTTTCCAGGAGGAGCAGAGACTCACCCAGTATCCTGTGTTCCTGGAAGCCCCACCCCGTGGTCTGGCACATGGGACAAAGCCAGAATACTTCACAGGGCTTGGGCCTTGGGCAAATGACTGACCACCATTTGGGGTAAATTGATCCTACCCTGAACACCAAAATTGTACTGTCCCAAAATACATCTATGAAGGGAGTTCTATTTAATCAAATGGAGGTCTGGGACTCACTGATCAAGCTCAGTAAGCAGCTGAAAATATTATTGCTCTGGGTTCTAAAAGCCATGTTAAAAAAGAAAATAACATCACATTTGGGTTAGTTGTCTCCCAGCGGAGGACGGATAGGCGCAAAGCTCCATGGGGAGGCGGCTGGGAGCATGCAGGGACAGGCCTCGCCAGCTCTGGATCAAAAGGCCTTTCTTTGAAGAGACCATGTCAGGCCACCACCACTTGAGAAGCATTAGTTTGGGGAGGCAAGAAACCAACAGAAGGTGGCCAGTGGTGTTTTCCACACTGATTAAGTCACCTGAAGTGACAGGCCACGTCTCTACAATGATCCCCAAGAGGGCTGGGGCTTGTGGGGACAAGAGAGAAGGGAGGCACCATGGTGGATGGACTCAAAGCAGATCACGTGACACAAGGCTGGGACCAGTCCAGAAACCATCTCTCTGCCAAGTGATGGGAAAAAATTTCAGTCACCTTATGCCAGCAAATGGAAGA